GAATTGTCATAATCAGAATTAAGCTGTGAGAGGAAAAGCTGTGATGCAGCAGAAGTGCACTGTGCAGGCGCTACAAGCTGTCAGCCTGATCAGGCCAGCTGCCGGGCAGAATGATAAAGATGCAGAAGTAGTGAGGGGACACTTTGTTTCAGCCAGAGTGGCAATAAAACTCTGACATAGGCCGAGCGTTGGAAGACTCCCTTCCTTGCCATGCTCTAGCTAAGCTGGACAGTCCCTTGCAGAGGCCTAAAGAACATGCTAAGTGTAAGCAGCTTTGCTTTTCAGCAGTGGGGAAATCCCATGGAAAACTGAAAGACTTCTGGGTACTGTATACGAGGTAATGAGGTAGCATTCAGGACAACACCAGTAGGCAGGTGTGTAGTACTTCCTGGGCCTCTTGTCGTGAAAATATCAGGGCGATCAGGAGGAATCACGATTTTTTTCTCACCCTCCTCTTACTATATCACTTGTGGAATGTAATTACATTTTTTTAGTGGCTTCCAGCCGTTACTTCCGGCGTGTCATTTTCCCCATTTTCACCCCAGATCCACACCAGGGACCCTCTGGACTGGCCTCATCCCCCATGGGTGTGTGCAGCCAGCAGGGCCTCCTGGAGGGCCATATTCCCACTTTGCTCCTTGGTCTCTTCCCACATCTAGGCCAGGCCGTTTTTGCCAGGTGTTGGACATGCACACAACATTTCATACCTGTCAGTGACTGGTTGGATGCAGAAGCCCTTGCTACCCATGGCTTATCGCCCTTGCCCTTTTCCCACCAAGCTGTGGCTCCATTTTGACTCCATCTGCTGGGACACCCACAATGAGAGTGGACTGGGTGCTCATGGACTAGGTGCACCTTGAGTGGGTCCCACAGACCTGGTTTCCATTCCTCCCTGCTCCTCCTACACCTAAGGCTGCATCAGGGTAAAAAAGCCCTGTAATTCAATGCATATTCACTGCACTTTGTGTTTTTCCTCTTCAGGAAAGGCTGATGCTCATATGACTTTCTTCTGTGGCCTAGACTTTGATTCCCATCCTGGCTCTGGCTAAGAGCAGAACAAATACAATTTATTAACAGCTAGTAAGATCTGCTAGCAAAGGTGCAGTGGTGTGTTTTTTCCTTAAATTGATTGTTTGTTCAATGTTTGTTCGTTTCCTTCCTTCCCAATCTCCTCCCCTCCCCAGCTGTCAATCTTCCCAAGTTCTTCCCTAACCTCCTCCCCTCCAAGTTGTTAATCCTCCCTTTCCCTGCCCCTTCCCTAGAGCATTCCCTGTCACTCCTTCTAGTACCCTCCCCTTCTTCCAGAGTGGTCCCTGTCCATTTACTTACGCTCAACACCCTAATGGTTACTTTGTGTTATTCCACACCCCTATTTCCCCTGATAGGTTTATGATCTGTTAGTCCTGCCTTAGACCCCTCCCCAGCTCTACCCTCACTGGTTATTGTTCCTACTCCCCTCCTCCTGAGTTCCTGTATAAAACCTTTGTTTGCCCTCCCAAACTGGTTTTGGAGCTCTATTATCTTCACCAAATAAATCCGTCTTGTTACAACCCAAGATCTGTGTTGCCTCCATCTGTCCCTGCGCCAATAACTGGGATTGCAGAGCTTGCAGGGGAACGGCCGCACCTCTGTTCCCTTGCTGCCCAGCACGCCACCACTCAGGTGTTGCAAGGGGACGCGACACAAAAGTCACAGTTAGAGCTCAGCATGATGCTTGTCTTCCTCCTGTTTGTGTCTAGGCCTGGTGATTTTCCAGGATGCTACTGCCAAGGAGAAAATTCTCACTAATGCTGGTTTTGACATTGCTTTTTTGTAGAATTTTGATCTATATCTACAGTGATCTACAGCAACTGAGTCTTTGACATGAAGTTCCTTCATGCAACATTTCTAAGCATAGTGGGAAATGAAGTCCAGATACTAATGAGTTGTGGTTGTTTTAACTCTGTGTAATATATGGTACAATATCACAAAACATGTTAATTTTGAGTGTTTCAGGCAATTAAAACTTAGGCTTATTCTTGTCAATACTTTACTTTCTTCCCTTCAGAAAGCTGTATGTCCAAGTACTAATTTCTTTCTTAGTTTGTTGAAACTTTACCTGTTGGATAATACTTTTTTCTTGACCCAGAGATGGGGCAACTAAGAGGCCTTTTAAAAACTTGAATTCTATTTTTAGACTCATGAGAAGGGTGAGACAATACAGACATTATAATTCATGCCATCAGCTGACTATTTCTTAATTACAATACACAATAAGTGTTTCTTGGCCTATTAGCTTTTTGCTACACCATGATGTAGATGCCTTAAAGCCAATCATCTAAAACCACTCCATGTGGGTCCTGCTACAATGCATCTTTCATAGTTCTATTTCTCCAAAATATCTAGTCTTATTTGCAAGGCTATCTTTTGAAACTTTTTTCTAGCCCCATTTCTCTCTCAACAATATCTGTCCTATTCTATGACATTTCTAAGTCAGTATTTCTTGTCTCAAGGTTTGCATACGGATGCATACTGTGTAGGCTTTCTGTCAGATCCTGAGAGCTCTCTACAAATCCATTTCCCAATTTTACCAATAGACAAGTTTTTTACCTTAGAGTCAGCGACTGAAATAAAAAAGGAACATGTATTAGGAAATGTCAAGTACTGAAGGGTAATATATGTTTCAGTGAGGAGAGGGGGAAGAAGGGAAATGCTTTTAAAATAGATTAAATTTTAAAATGGAGCCCTCATCTAATATTCCAGTATTTGGATATGAAACTAATTCTCCTCCTTTCTTTGATCACAGCCAAAAAAGCAATTCATTCTTTCATGTTATGAGCTACACAGAGGAGTCCTGGAACTTTCCAGTGAATTTGCCAAGGTTTGCTACTTCCTTGAGGTCCCTTGTCTTCCTGAGAATGGGATACCTTTGGGAGTATAAATCTCACAGCTGGAAAAATTCTCTCTTTTTTTCCTGGTTTTCCCTCTAGGAATTCTGTGGAGGATCTACAAAGCAATCTCTGAGAATGTATCTCTTTGGTTTTGGATTGAACAGGCCCAACCTTAGATAATAAGATGCCTATTGTTAATATCTTGGTATTAGGGAGTAGTGTTTGTTTTATATCATTCTGATCTAAAATGGAAGCCCTGAACTGAAAAATTATTTAAAAGTCTTAGTGCAAGTCAGTGACTTGGAAGTTAGTGGCTCCAAGTGGGTTAGCCACTCCAAATACCCACTTTGTAGATACTCAGGCTCAGAAGTGTTTTTGTTTGTTTGTTTGTTTTTTTACCTGGCCCCTGGTCACATTTTATCTAATTGTAAAAATTTATCTTATTGTTACATTTTTAAGGATATGTATGAAATAAACCTGCTACAGATCCACACGGAATTTTCATTTGGGTGGTATGTTTTACTTGTGATCCGACTGTTCAGTACTAACTGGAAAAACCACACCTTTTCCTCTTACCTGTCAGTGTAATAAAGCCTTCATCCTCTGTGTCCCAATACAGGGAGAATTGAACCTTAGCTGAAACTTAGCAGATTGAAAAGTACACAAATGACTGCTTTATTCAAATCTGAATTCCATTTTATACAGCTCCTTATTTTCTTTTTTTTCCTAGTACTTTCTCTTACAAATGTCATAATTTGCTGCTAAAAACCACGAACATGTACAGTTCAGTTTTATGTTTAGGTATGATGAATGATAAAGGCAGACCAAAGGAAAGTACAAAAATTTAGAATAAAAGGAAATAAAGGTAGTTTCACTCCCCTTTTCCCCCCGAATTTGGCTTGATACATTTTTAAGTACACCCCATTCTGCTTCCTTTTCATTGGCATATGAAAGCATGACAGGAAAAGTGGCTTCCCAGGCTTTTAGAAAGGAAGACTTTTCCCATAAACATTTTGGGGTTTTCACTTTTTTTTTTTTTTTAATTAAAGTTGTGCACTACTTAATAGCAAACAAATGAGAAGAATCCATTTTACCAGTGTTGGAAGCTAACTTGATGGGGTGAAATCTGGGACCTCCCTCTGCTGATTCTGGAGAGCAAATAGGATTTGTGTGTATCTGTATCATTTTATTTCAGAGCACTTTCTTCAAAATTCTTCTGGTTTTTAACTGACATTTAGGCATAGGTTAGGTTCCTCAGGTGGTGAGCTACAAGGAAGAATTTCCTTCTGCCACAGGAGTCAGTACTCCTGCTGCCCCACCTTCTCCCTTTCCTTCCCCTGCAGTGTGGTGAAACCTCTGGAACCCCTGTGCCAAGGAACAGCCCAACTGCCCAACGGCCACAAACTGCCCAACTGCCCAACGGCGTCCATGCTGTGCCTGTCACCCTGTGGCCCCACTGCTTCTACAGCACAGGCTGTGCTTGCTTTCACATCTGTTTGGGTGCTGACAAAGATCGTGTCTTCACTTGAAAGGTCTCAGCATGGACTGTAGGAAGGTACTTGTAGTCTTTTAAATGAAGAGGAGAGTTTTCCTCTACACATTGAATGTTTAACAAATTGTAAGCACTGCATAATTTTAAGATGGCAATCTTGTAATTACCCAAATGAGAAAGGTTTTTCATCCCTTCTTTCACCTAGAATAAAACTGACGGGGAGAAGGAAGAGGAGTTTTTAGTGCAAAATTGTGCTCCAACTCTTGAGTCACCTTCCACAGCAGCTGTAGCAGAGTGCA